GGCCGTCTGGATCTCCCGCGACGTGATGGTGGAGCGCTTGTTGTAGTGCGCCAGGCGAGACGCCTCGCCGGCGATGCGCTCGAAGATGTCGTTGACGAAGGAGTTCATGATGCCCATGGCCTTAGAGGAGATGCCCGTGTCGGGGTGCACCTGCTTCAGCACCTTGTACACGTAGATGGAATAGCTCTCTTTCCTAGTCTTTCTACGCTTCTTGTCACCTTTCTTTTGAGTCTTGGTGACGGCTTTCTTGGAGCCCTTCTTCGGAGCGGGAGCGGATTTAGCTGGTTCCGGCATTTTACGGGTCTGTCACTACCTGTCCACCGCAGGAACGACGTAAATACAAAGGCGGCGACGCCCGTATTTATAGGGACGGTATGCAAATGAGATGACTCAACGCTGCTCTTGCCTATTGGACAATCCGAGGCCGTGATGTCAAACCATCGAGCATCTTCGATTGGTCGCTCTTTCATCTGCATTCCCATTGGTAAACTCCACAATCCAAGCCTCCGCCAATCAGAAGTCCCACCGAACCCCAGAAGGAAGGTATAAAATCGCCGAGTGACACTTTTTGCCGCATTTACTCCATTTCCGCGGCTTACGGAGGCATTCCGTGCGGTTTTATTTTACTTTGCCTTGTATTTTTATAGGCTTTTGTTTCGTGTCTTTCTCTGAGACATGTCCGGGCGCGGGAAGCAGGGCGGGAAGGCGCGGGCCAAGGCCAAGTCGCGCTCGTCGCGGGCCGGGCTGCAGTTTCCTGTCGGTCGTGTTCACCGCCTGCTGCGCAAGGGCAACTACGCGGAGCGGGTGGGCGCCGGCGCGCCCGTGTACCTGGCGGCCGTGCTGGAGTACCTGACGGCCGAGATCCTGGAGCTGGCGGGCAACGCGGCCCGCGACAACAAGAAGACGCGCATCATCCCCCGCCACCTGCAGCTCGCCATCCGCAACGACGAGGAGCTCAACAAGCTGCTGGGCAAGGTGACGATCGCGCAGGGTGGCGTGCTGCCCAACATCCAAGCCGTGCTGCTGCCTAAGAAGACCGACAGTCACAAGGCTAAAGCCAAGTAAAGTTCTCCAGATAAAATAACCCAAAGGCTCTTTTCAGAGCCACCCACATCTTCCCAGAAAGAGCAGGAACGCTTAACCCTACAAATACATGCTATTTGATATATCTGAAATCTAATTTTAAAAAGAAGCTTTCTAAAGTAAAAAAAAAGTCTGTATTTTCAACTTTAAACTTGCTGATCAGTGGAGTTCCCACCATTTTTCTTTCTCTAAGACATCCCTGTTCTTATGTAAACGTGCCTCTTTCCTTTTTTGGGAAAGAAAAAACCAATAAAATGTAGCTGTTGCGATTGAAATCGGTCACCGCAGCATGGTTTGAGAGATGTAAACTGGGCAAGGGTGTACTCGCTGCGTGCCTCCCCATGGATTCAGTGGGTGGGAAGCACCGTTGGGGTCGGTGGGGGTAGGATGGGGCGGGGACCGGGCTGCCCTTGCCGATCCGATTGGAACGCGCGGTTTTCAAACTAGGGAGGGATTGGGCCTCCTCCCGGTGAGCCGCTGCTGTCCCTATATTGGGGTGGAAAAGGTGTCCGAGTGCTTTGTGCGTAGTGGTTGCCGTAATTTTCTGCCTTCTGAGTGGGTTTTGTTGTTGTTGTTGTTTGTTTGCAATTCAGGGCTGTTAGGGGATAGTGAGAAAATGGTAAGTACTTCCCTGGGATGCTGTCCAGTTTCTAAAGGGCAGCGTCAGGTATTCTGTATAAGTGATAGATGATGATGGTGACTACTGTAATGGAGTTAAAGCAAAACAGGCTCGAGTGTGAGTTCATATAGAAGCACTACGGAAACTCACATACACAGGGAAGGGGGTCATCATGTCCAGACTTGAACTGATGTTTCAGATTCTTTCTCTGTCATCCTGACAGTGTGGGTGGTGTTCAAAAGTGCTATTTGCGTTTTTCTGCAAAAGTTTCCTTTACTTATACGGTACGGATTCCTGAGTACTGCTGCTTTCGGTTTGGCCGAGCTCCTCGGTGCCACCCTTTTGGATTTCAAAGCCTTTGAGGCCCTTGGCCACTACGACTGCCTTGGCCTGCTTGACTGCGGGAGTCCCTTATGCTCCACGGAGGAGGACACGGCCTTGACGACGCGGGGGTCACGGGCTTTGAAGTCGCGGCATCTGGCTTGAGGATCCCGGAGTGTCGGGGGCATATAAATCAAGATACTACGCGAAAGATCGGTATTTTTAGGGAGGAGCCTGTCCGCCATTGGTGCCTCGGGGAGTCCGCCCTGCTGGGGCACAGCGACAGCTCCTCTCTGTTTCCTCTGAATGTGTCAAGTTTATTTCTCTCTTCTCTTTTCTTTTCTTCTCCTGTAAAGAAGACTGCTTATCACCTTTGTTAGGCAGATGTAGGTAAAAGAGGCTTTTACTTCGTTTTCATTCCGTCATGTTTAATCCGGAAGAAAACAATCTGCCCGAAGGGGAAGCAGGAATGCAACGCCGGGAGCTGGGAGCCTCGGTATAAGGCTTTCTGAGAGCTGGGGGGGGGGTGTTTTCTTTGTTCTTTAAAACCGTCCTTGAGAACTAGCAAAGGAAACCTCCGCAGTTGTTTCTGTTGTTGTTGGTTAGGTGGTGTTTTGGTTGTGGGTTTTGTTTTTTTTTTTTTTTTTTTTTTTTTTTCCCCAGTGTTCTGCCCGAGGAGGCAGAGAAGTGAGTCACTGTGGTACTGTGTTAGTGGAAAATGTTTTTCAAGCAGAGGGAGATGACGCGGGAGTGCCCAGCTGAAATCTTGCTTGGAAACAAGATGAGAAAGGCCGGACTGCTGTCAAACGGTACAAGATTCTTGTACAATTTTCGTGTTGGTTTGGAATTTTTTTTTCTTAGTTGTTATTTTTGTGTGTGTGTGTGGTGGGTTTTTTGTTTGTTATTTTGGTTTATCTTTCTATTTCTCGAAATAGAAGACTTTTTTCCTTATTTTTTTTTCTCTATAATCTCTGTCTTGTTGAAAGAAATTGCGTTAGGTATTAATCACCTACCATTCAGAGTTGGACTTTGAAACAACATTAACTACAGAACTTTATTAGTAACCATGCTGAAATTTGAGGCTAGAATTAGGTTTAAAACACTTAGGGATTTGTTTGTTTATAAATCTCAAATTTTCTGTATTTATCATATTTGGCAAAAGAGCCTTCTATTAGTGTATATTTATTATGGGAGGAAGAGATTACGTGAGCCTAAAGCAGGGAATTGATTTGTAGAAGGTTCTGATGGAGCCATTTGAAAATCCTGAAACAGAGGCCTCCCGAGTTTCATTTTTGCCCTTGAAGACCCAGTATGAGAATGGAGCATTTCTTTTCAAGAGCAGTGCTCATACTTCCTTCTTAGGCACTTTAGTATATCTGTTCTGCTTCTCTCGGAAACTAGAAAAGAGGTGTCTGTTTTGGGTTTTTTTGTTGTTGTTTTTTTCCGTCTGATGTTTGAAAAATCATTTGCAAACACAAGTATTCTAACAGTTTTCAAATAAGATATGAGTAGACTGGAATCTAGTCTAAAGTCTTTGCATTGTTTTTCTATTATGTTCCTCATTAAAAACTAGTTAGACTCAGTATTGTTATTCATGAAGTTCACCATTTCCTTCTCTGAACTTTCCAGACATGTTTCCCCCTTCAGATGGTGCATACAAGGAGTTTTCTTCCTTATCTTCCTTTTTCTTCCTTTTTCGGTTTCCTTCCTTATACACAAATTTGTAAACAATGGTCTCTATGCCACCAGCAGGATTTTCATGATGAGTTTAAGTATGTTTCTATTAGCAGAGGAAAACTAATGAGTTCTGTATACTAAATCCTCTTTTTCCTCAGCTAAATTAAGCCTGGAATGTTTTCCTACAATTACTGCATATACCTGTTTCTCCTGACCAGTCATCATATTTAATGTAGAAAAGTAACTTGTTCTTCTTCCTCGGGTAACTGCACTTGTTATAAATGAACACATTCTATCTGCATACCATAGTTAGAGAACAGGCATTTATATATTGAAATAGAAGAGAGAAATGTATCATATTGCCTATTTGCTTATGCGACAGATGAGAGTTAAAAGTATTTTCTTGAAAACCACAATATTTTATTTCATTGAAGATGTGAAATTTCCCTTACCAAATTTCATTTCAACTATCCAGCCAACCTAAATTCTCAAAAAGGGGAAAGGCTTTAGATTTAGGAACAGTGCAGCATAGATGCTAGTGGTCACAAAATAAATATTAAAGGACATACATGACCCTAAGTTACCTTTGAATTTTAAGTTCACACAAAATATGTGCTTATGCTTTAAAGTACTAACTGTAGCATAGGTCATGCAATCTGTCAGATGACTTGCTCCCAAGAATATTATTCAACCTGTAGTTATTAAAAAACAGTTCTCTGTTTTTTAAAGTACTAAAAGATAATATGCAAGACAATATTAGAAAAAAATAAAAGAAAAATAAAACTATGCTCAGTTGCAGAAAGATTCCTGAGTATGCGGAGAAACACATTTTAAAAAAATAAAGGAATAGAAGAACATTCACTTTTAGGCTTTTTCATAGTAACAATACAGTGTGAGAAAAAATCTTTTTCCTTCAAAAAGTCTTATTCATGTTGTTTTGATTTGGGTTTTGCCGTTTTTGATTTGTTTGTTTGATTGTATTTGAAAAAGACTGCCTATGCTTAGTTTTTCTCTAGTGACCTGAGTGAGGACAAAATTGAAATATTGTTCAAGCTCCCTTGGTAGTAAGCAGTCTTCCAAAGTCTTAGAGAAAGATGTGATTTTAATTTTTTTTCCCTCAGGAGAATTTGCTTTAGGCTGGCAAATTTATCTACAACGTAGGCAAACTATTTACATAGGCCAACAAATGTGAACGGAATTAATTGCCTGGAACCAATGCCATCCCCGTGATTCTGTAGGCTCCTCCTTGTAAAACTTACTTGAACATTTACATCGCATAGTCTGTGCAAAGGTTCAACTTTTATAGGTCTTTTATTAAATTGCTCTCAAATTCCTTGACTCAAACTTTTAGTTTCTCTAGTACCTTCTGTAAACTTACATAGCACATCAAAATACAGTAACGCAGGAATATCCTATAAATCTGCTGTAATGTTATATAAACCATTTGAATAATACCATTAGCAGTTTGTTTTTCATTAACACTTGAAAACAGACCTCCTTAGACACCAAATAAACTTTTAAAAGAAAAGGTTTTTGTATATTTCTCTCAAATATATGGTACAGGATCGATTTAGATTTTGCTAAACATGAAAGAAATTCACTAGTCTCCATTCACATTATTTTGGAGGTATTCCTGATGCTCAGGAGGTTTGTTTGAAAGTCTGGAAATCAACTGAACTACAGCTATGGAAACACAGCAGAAAACTGCGTTTGTCTGCAGGTCACAATAAATACTCTGCATGTATCTAATAGGGACAGAAAAACCGATTGCCGTAAAACCCTAGCTAATTCCTTATGTGTCTTTGCATCTTCTGAGATCCTTATCATTACCGTGGCACAGCTGAGTCAGGGGGAGGGCTGATCTGTCTGGGGCATTCCGGTTCAGCTCTGGGGCCCAGCAGGGAAACAGGGCGGGGGTGGGGGGCTCAGTCACCACCCGCCTGGGCTGCAGCAATTTCTGACCAATCCTGCCCGGGAAGCAGCTTACCTCCCTCTTCCACCTCCTCCCTTCCTCTCTATCTCCCTCTGGTTACCTTCTCTGCCACCGCTTCCCCACCCCCACCCCTTCACCCGTCCCTTCCCGACTCATTTTCATTTCGTTAATCCTCAGACGAGGAAGATGAATCTGAAGGATGATACCACAGCGGGGTGATAAGCGCCTCGCTCTGGCGGTTGCTAAAACCAGCCTGGGTTTTGAATGCTTCCAGTGTCTCTTCTATCAACTGCTAGTTTGTATTTTTTGACTGCCATTTATTTATACCGTAGCTGCTGTGCAGGCTAAGGGGGAAAAAAACCCCAACCAACCAACCAAAAGCCAAAAAACCCCACCACAAAACCAAAACAAGGAACAGTTGGGATCCTCCAGCTTGCTCTGACAGAAAATGTTATTTTGATTCTGCAGGCTTCACAGCTGAGAGAGAGACGGATCATCCTACATGATAAAATACTTCTATAGGGAGCCCATGGTCATTAAATCCTTCCCCTCCCCTTGTCCTTGATGTATGGGTGCATGGTATAGAAACAACCCTGCCATAATAACTAGGCTGATGCGAACAAACTTCTTTTCCTCTTCAGATGTCATGTCTGTATACCACATCTTTGAGAGTTTGATTGTTTCAGGTCTCTGCACTCCACATACAAATGATATGGCTCTTCACGTGTGGGGAGGGATTTCAAACAGAAACCAAAACCTCTTCCTAAAGACCTTCTGGCTTTTTTCTGTCATGGAATTCCTCTGTTGCCTTCTCAACTGTTTCCTAAGAGAAACGTGAAAATACCAGCCCAAACCAGGATGCTAGCAACTTGGAAGCCCTGAAAATTATTATTTTTTTTTTTTTTTTTAAGGGGAAGTTATCTTGCTGTTGTTTGGTTGGGTTGGGTTTTTTGAGGGGGCAGGAGAGGAAGAGTTGTTTTTTTGTTTGGGGTTGGTGCTTTTTGGGGGGGATTTCTTTGCTTGTTTTTTTTTTGTGTTATAGAAAAACCAAAACTGATCCTCAGAACATGCATGTAATTAAATGGACCAGTTTATGAACTATTTACCTCTGACATTAGCAACTGCTTTGCTTGTGCAAGCAGCTTTCTAGTCTAGAATTGATTTCTATAAAGGAGAGAGATGGCACCAATTTCGTCTTTCCACACATCATCTTTATCTCTTTTTTTTTTTTTTTTTTTTTTTTTTTTTTTTTTTTTTTTTTTTTTTTTTTTTTTTTTTTTTTTTTTTTTTTTTTTTTTTTTTTTTTTTTTTTTTTTTTTTTTTTTTTTTTTTTTTTTTTTTTTTTTTTTTTTTTTTTTTTTTTAATTTGGAAAATACCTATAGAGAAAAATAGTTCATTTACTTTAGGAAACTGCCTGTGAAATTTAGACAGCATTGCTGGTTTCGGTAACATTTTGGTTTATAACTAATTTTATAATTAGATTAGACCTCACTAGATTTGATAGATTTAAACACTGACCTTACAGATAGTAAAAATAAGCAAGAACATCTTCAACCACTAGTGGTCTCTGTTCTGAAAGTATCTTAATATTGTTGGTAAAGAAGTCATGTCAGACCTTAAATCATCTTTATCACTTTTCTCAGAAATTTCTTTACCATTTGCAATTATTTATGTATTTATTTATGGGCCAGAAATGTGCATATTACTCAGGGTGCAACTATTGTACACAGTGCCACAATGGTACTAGAGATACAACATCCTTGTTTACTCTCTTTTCCTCTTCTGCTGATTCTTGACATTCAAGTTATTTTCATTGCAGTGCTTCTGAGGCTTGAACATGTTTGTTTTAGTAATTTATTTGTTGTTTTCAGATGTTGGAAGAAATTTTTGTTAGGATCAAACTGGAGGGTGCAGTAAAAGTGGAAGATGATGGCAAGAGGATTCTGAAAACTGAGTCAAGGATCAGGCATGGGGGAAGGACAGGCAGTGAAATTGAAAACTATGGTGAAATAAAAGTGAATAAATTATAAGACTGAAATTTATTGTCATTTAATGACATCCAAAACACCTAAAGATGGAATGCTCGAGATGCCTCTGCTGTAAAGGTCATGGCAAGTACACTGCTGTATATCAGGAAAATGAAGATTTATTTTGTTCCTCACTAAATTGATGGTTGAATTTGCCATCATCCATTATGATCCAGAAGTCCAAGTCCGTAAGTCTTTATGGGTGGTGATGTTCCAATTAGTTGCTAATCTTGTGTGTGTGCAGACTGCTAACTGCTGAAGGACCTTGTAGCCACAAGAAATTCATACAGAATAGCAGCAGCACTGGATGGTACTAACAAGATCAGTGATTACTATACATAGAGAAATTAAAAAGGTGAAAAAAATTACCTTGTTAATAACTTTCTAACTTCCTTCTGTGTGATGTTGTTTTAGTTTTGGCTCTTTTTTTGGTTTTGTTTCGGTTTTTTCAGACCAAATTTTCCCTTGTCCATGTCTATGAATTTGGGGATAACCACCAAGAGTTATTGGGGGTTTCTGCATAAACACATGAATGCATGAAAAGGTAACACTTTAAAGCATCAGTAGTTAAAAAGTATGCGTATGATTTTGATGTGGTTTTTGAAGCCCTGTTTGAGATGGAGCCCACTGTGACTGGATAGGAACTCCCATGGTCCATGCTGATTTCCAGCTTCCACCTAGACAAGTGCAACTGTAACCGTACAAGCTGTGGCCTTAGCACACAGTTGCAAGTAGAGCCTGGAGGCAGATGCACACCCAGGAAGAAATCCTAAGTGTGCCCTGGGGCAATCAGACCCATGGAAAGCAGTCATTCCAGGTGCCAGGTGCATCAGGTTAGTTCAGGTAAATGAGAATGGAAACTAGGACTGAGCTGATCAAGCCTCAGAGTCTGGCAGTAATTTAGGGGCGCACTGGGGTGTGAAGTCTGTGATTCTCCTTTATATTGTGGATCTAACAACCAGTCGTACTGATGGGCCTGTCTTCAGTATGCTGGAAGGTGGCTTGTGCAGAGACTGACAGCTTGAAGTCTTCCTGTGAGTAGGGTGCACCGAGCCTTAATTTTGCTTGTGTTGTAATTAACAAACTTGTCATGCAATTTTCAAAAATATTTTTTTTCCTTCATGGTATTAGACAAATTCTTATAGTATTTAGTGGTGTTGTTTGTCACTCCAGACAAAAATCCATCTCTATTTTTTGTTGGACCTGTACATTCCATGTGATAATGCTCTGAGGACATTTCTATTCCTCTAGGAAGATGATGCAAAAAAAGGTGATTCCTTTGTTTAATGAATGTCTCACCAAAATTAAGTAGCACATTTATTGCAGGCTTTTGGTTTAGGAGGTGAAGCAAATCTGTATCTCCAATTTTCAGTGTTTCTATCATGATACTTTTAGCTTGTTTAAAAAAAAATATCACAGAGGCTTACATTTTGAAACTCACACAATTTCCACAGCCTATTTAAAGGGATGGTTGTCTTTTGGGAAGGATGGGAGTATTAGAAGGAACGTCAGGATGAGAGGTTGAAAGCTGATGCAGAAGGGAATAGGAGTGCTAAATTCTGCTGACACTCCTAGTGGGCAAAAGAGTAGTCATTCTCTCACTCATTCCTGCCATCACTCAACCTGTTCCTTCTCTCAAACATGCCCTGACTGTCTTCCCATGTCAAGGAAGACAGCTCTGGGCTCTTACAACTCATGCTACCTGATCAGGAAAACTTTTTGCTCTTCTTATACTGTTTTCATTAACTGGGAGAGCTCATTGTAAAAATAAAAATAAATAAATAAATAATTACTAATTTGTAGTAAATCACTTCTTGCTTCTGAGTAACAAAACAATCCATGTTGATGAACCACCAGGAGGGAAGGATGAACATTGGCCATAAAATTTGAGACTGGCAATAAAAGAAAAGGTGGGAAATGAAGTGTTATTCTAGAATTGAGTGAATTTGAATTGCTTAGAACTCCTCCTTTCTTTTCCATAACCCTGAAAGGTTTGAGTTCCTGTAAACATGTTTTTTGCTCCCCCTTTTGGTTTAATTTTGTCTATTTTCAGGAACATCCTAATATTTCAATAACATACACGCTGTTACTTTATACCTACAGCTGCCAGTGAAAAGCTTAGACAGATACTACACACGCACACTATGCTAAAATAAAACCAAGACAATTAAACTGCCTGGTTTGGAAAAGATAAATTTGGGTAAGCATTACTTGACTTGAGCAATCATGAAATATAGAATATTTTCTCAAATAACACAAGCACACTGTAATGCACCAATCTAGTCTATGTACCTGTACATTGTTGTCATATCTACAAGTATTCTGGGTAATACTGGTCATAATAAAAAGTCATTCATTAAATAGTCTGTGGGTTTTTTTTCCTTTGAAACTAAACTATTACTTAGGTTAAGAACAAATTACATTATTATCTATTTTAGTTCTTCATCTGAATTGTCGCTCTTGAAATGTAATGGACCCTGGAGAAGGATAAAAAGTTGATTGTTTAAAGAAGTCTAATACAGACACGATCAAGAAAATATGATGCAGAAGTAAGCAAAGGTTAAATTTAATAGAAAAAAATATTAACTGCCTCACAAAGAGATATAGGGAAATAAAAAGCATCAAGAAATGGATAGTAAAAAAGATTGCAACTTTTTGGCAAACTGCCCATCAGCACTGGCTGTGGGAGGTGAATAGCTTGCCTTGCAAGCTTCCCATACTCACTAAACTACATAAGAAAATTATTTTTTTAAACTGGATAGTCTACAAGACTATTAACACGTATTTGAAGTAATGCAGTGAAATAAAAGCAAAGCTATAGAAGAGAAGTGCAAAAAGTAACTTGATTAAAATGAAATATGCTAGATGAGAAGGAAAAAAATAATTCTTAGAGAAGTCCTGAAGAGACCAAAAGAGGTCATTTGAATCAAGATAAACAGAGGGAAAACAATACCTCTGGCGAGGTACAAGTGTATGACATCGAATAGTGAGAGAAGTAATAGGCAGTAGCAGGGATAGGATATGCTCTATAGTTATGCAGAAGCTTTACTGAGTTCTTTATTGTGGCCTGTCCATGCTGTAGCCCTCAAATGGGGTGGCTGGAGTAGGGGAAGAACTTCCTATAAATCCCTTTTTTTTTTTTCTTTCAAAGAGTAAGCATGATGGTAAAGATGACGATTCTAAATGTGCTGGTTTTGGAGGGAATGGACTTAACTTTCTTCACAGTGTGTAGTATGGAGCTGTGTTTTGGATTTGTGCTGAACACAGGATTGATAATATAGAGATGTTTTTGTTATTGCTGGGCAGGGCTTACACAGAGCCAAGGCCTTTTCTGCTTTTTGTACTGCCAGGCTGGGGAGGAAGGTGGGGGTGCATGGGAGGCTGGGAGGAGACACAGCCAGGACAGGTGACCCCAACTGACCAAAGGGATATTCCAGACCATATGACATCATTCTCAGTATATAAAGTGTGGGGAAGAAGGAGGAAAGGAGGGATGTTTGGACTGATGGTGTTCATCTTCCCAAGTCACTGTTATGTGTGATGGGGCCCTGCTCTCCTGGAGATGGCTGAACGCCTGCCTGACAATGGGGAGGAGTGAAAAAATTCCTTGGTTTGCTTTGCTTGTGTACACAGGCTTTTGCTTTACCTATTAAACTGTCTTCATGTCAAACCATGAATTTTCTAGCTTTTACCCTTTTGATTGTCTTCCTGATCCCACCGATGAGTGAGTGAGCGAACAACTGTGTGGTGCTTGGTTGCTGGCAAGGGTTAAGATAAACAGGGGGGGAGGGGGGCTTCATTTGTCCTAATAACATCATTAAGGTTGATATCAGAAGATAAATATGTTCTTGCTATAGCTGTAGAACTAAATCATGGGATATTAATAGATATAAACTGATATAAACACTACAAAGGTGGCTATCTAGACATGAAAATACTTATCAAAATGGTGACCGAGCATAACCTGAATTAAATAACGTAAATACCAAAAGGCCTACAAGGAGAGAAAAATAAATACTAAAGTCTCTGTCTTGTAAAATCCATTCCTCTCACACCTCCTGAGAAAGAGAAGTTTCAAGGAAAAATGATAAAAAATGATACACAAGAACAGCTGCAAAAAAAGGGATTGCTAAAATGGAAAAAATATGTGAAATTACCAAGCTAAACCTTCTCACATTTAATAAGCATTATACAGTAACAGGCATCCATTAGAAACAGGGAAAAAATGGGAAAGATCAAAGAAAATGAGAAATACCTGACTAATGAAAAAAAAATTCCATGCATTGCACACAGGGATAACATACCAGGGAAAAACTGCTGAGAAAGACATGGTTAGTAGGAACTGTATAGAATAGCATTTATTTGATGATCGTTCAAGAACAAGGTAAAAATACCTCAAACATACATTCATGGTAAATATAAATAGGAATTGAGACAGCAAAAGTAAAACTGTGTGTGTGCATGTAAAGTTCGGAAGCTTTCAGGACTCACTGCACCTGAATGGACTCGCAGAGCCAATAGGCACCCCAGCACAAATCAAGCTCTCCAGAACACATGCTGTTTAAAAAGTAGTATTATGTAAAGAAACAGCAAAAGTGTTTTTGTTATGTTTCAACAAAGTAAGACCATGAGAATAATCAAACCTATGTCGTATCTTTAAAAACACGTGGAGCAATGTAGTTCTTCATGGGTCCACCAACACGAGACGCAAATTAACTCCTTCATCAGACCTCACTCTCAATACACAAAACAATGCCGCGTGATCATTAAGTCGGAGACGCGGGGCACACACAAGACTTTCCATCCTGCAAAAATAAGTGAACGTGTCGCCCTCACGGGGAAAAAAAAAAAAAAAAAAAAAAAAAAAAAAAAA